TAAGGACGCCCGTCTTAGTGCTGGCTGCTCTGCGCGCCAGCAACCCGCTGCTTTCTAATATTTACACACAACTAGAGAGGCAAATGTAGCGTAACTTCACCCACACACCTGGAACCTGTGTGCACATTTGTGCTGTTTGGACCCAAAAAACAGGGAAGGGGAGGGTTAAATTACAGCACAAACAGTGAAATCTCATTGCATCTTTTCATCCAGGAGTTTGAAGGAGTTGGGTGTGAACGATTGCAACTGTTGGAAAGTTGTTTGTGTGTGCGCGGAGGGTGAAATGCAGATTTCTCGTTGAAGCTGTGACAATTGACGAAAGAGATGGCGGAGGGGAGACGCAGGAGGCCACTGACACAGCACATTATTCACATGCGCAACACAAAGAGCTGCGTGCGGTTTACATTAGGACACAATGGAACGAAAAATGGCTTCTTCAAAACTTTTTCGGATCTGCTTCTGTATCGTAACAGGCGCCAAAATGTCAGGAAAACACGGCTGCACCGCTCCCTACAGAAGGTTTAAACCCTGAACAACATTAGACCATTTGGTGCTTTACTGTGTCCGCTTGGCTTTAGAGAAGATTAGCATTTTAAAAACGGCCTTCAACTAAAGAAGTGTTTTTGTTTTCATTTTACTTTTAGTGGTCTGACTATTTCCTGGCAGAAAGAACAACCGAATGTTTAAATGACATCATTATCTGAAGTTGTTCATAATGTGGTTGCTTATAATTTCCTCAGTGGACTGAATGAAACTTCTCATTGCGTCAGTTGGGTAAATTTAAACTTTATTTTAGCTGTTTTTTTTTTTTTTATTGTGTTAATTGATTTTGCAGGTGGCATAGTGGCGCAGTTGGTAGAGCTGTTGCCTCTCAGCGAAAAGGTTGCCAGATAGAATCCCAGCCCGGGGACCTTTCTGGGTGGAGTTTGCATGTCCTCTCTGTGCGTGCGTGGGTTTTCTCCAGTTACTCCAGTTTCCTTCCGCAGATCAAAAACATGCATATTAGGCTGATTGTTAACTCTACATTGTCTCTAGGTGTGAGTGAGAGTGAACGGTTTGTCTCGTTTGTCTCTATGTGTCCCTGTAATAGATTGGAGACCTGTCCAGAGTGTCCCCTAGCTCTCGCAGTGATAGTTGGACATGGGCACCAGTCACCCCCGCAATCCAAAATGGAAGAAGCAGTAAAGATAATGGATGGATGGACTTTGTTTTAAAAGTACATTCAGGAACATGATTGTATTTTTGCTGCTGTGTCGCCCAGTTTTGTCCGAGCTTCAGCTGTTGGACAGACGGACTCTTGACTCTTGAATCCTGTAGCTACAAAGCATGCCCCAAAGCTTTCCACTCCCGTGCTTGGAAGGTATGAGGTTTTGTCAAACATGACATTGCTCAGTTTGGGTAAGCATATTTTCTTTGGTGTTGTTTTGTTCCATAAGTCTTGTGGAAGTCATACTTTTTTTACCATCCTGAACTTTAACCTTTAAGTTGCTAACTGAGGCCTGTAGAGTCTGACATGGTACCTTAGAATATCTTTGTAGTTTCTCTGAGCATTGCATGGTCTAACTTTATTAGGACGTCCACTTCAGGGCTTGAATGTTTTCCCACTTATGAATAATATTTCTCTGTTTTAAATCAAGAGGTACTTTCATTTAAAAAAATGGCTGCAAAGACCAGACTGGCATGACAAATCACTGATGAAGGCAGCTTTCAGAAATGAAACAAGCTTTGAGGAACCAAGAGGCGTGGAGCAAAACTCAGCTGTGTCAACATGAAGCACTGCACAATAAACGTGACAGAAAGCTCTCTCATGTGATTTTCATACCTCAGGTCAGCAATCGTCTTTGTGGGTAACCATTCTTTAACAGAATGTAGAGTTGCTGTGCATCATCATCAATCATCTCCTCTAAATAGTCTGTTTATTGTTAAGGTGCATGGTCAGAGTGTTGATCATCGTTGCAACATCCTTGAGTCTCAAAACCTCCAAACCTTTTCACATGTTTTGGCTCCGTTACTACTTTGCTAGGTCGAACAAAGGTGCAACAGCAGTGGACTGACCTCAACTCCCATGCATGGCTCATTCAGAAATTGCACCAAGAAGGCCAGAAGGCATCTAAGTCCTGGCTCGAAGAGTTTTAAGAAAGTGTGCCTATGGGCTCCAGACAGTTTCAAAATGGCCCAACTGATGGGCAGAAACATTTGCTTCTGTAAGATCGCTGCTGATCATTTGGCATTTTAGTTTTTGTAATGACATAACAGTTTGGTTTGGCGTGTTATTGTTGGGTTTGTTTTATGTAAGTGTCAACTTGTCTTTAGACCTTTGCTTCAAACATTCTAACTCAGATTTAGTTTGAGACTTTTGGACACAAAAAGAAAACACTGACAATTGTCCCAAACACAGGAGACCCACTGGTTGGGGAAAGTGTTATTGAGTTCTCGGCTTGCTGTCCTGGGGAGGGTTGGAGTTGGTATCATGGGAGCAGCGGTTAGTCGACCGCTGCGAGGCGTTCACGCTCCGCCGGCCGTCCGATCGGGGGCCAACCACAGAGCACCCCCAGGTAAGACAGAGCTGAAATGTTCACCTCTCTGACAGGATGCCCCTTCCCCCCTCCCCCACTCTCACACATCCATTTGCTATCATTATGTACTACTGCCCCCTGCTGTGGACCCACAGCTCCAGCGCCCCTCAGGTCAATGTGTGGGAGGGGGTGTAATGTGGTGGGGGCTCTTTACTCCTAAGGAGGCTGCAGCAATCAATAGCAAGCCACCAGTCGCCGCAGGGGCCCCCGAGGGCCCTCACATCGCCAGCATTAGTGGCGATGTCCTCCTCCATGGGGAGGAAGCCTGTTGGGAGTTAATGAGGGAGGAGGGGCTCAAGGACAGGGACGGATGCAGGAGGAGGTTGTGGTGGACAGCTTGTCAGCAGCTTCTGAGGAGGGAGATGTTCTGGTGCACGCTGGCTGTGATGGAAGCAGAACTCTGATGATCTGACACCAGTTCGTGATGTCGTCCTGTCAAACGTGATGCATCTCTGCAAAGAGACGCTCGTCTTCCAGTCACGTCTGGAACACGTCCATCAGAAACACGGAGATCCTCCTCAGTGGTGGCGGTTTACAAAGTCTATATTCCTGCCGTCCAAACGAGCATCTCACTGTTATAAACCATTCAGTACACAGTTGCATCTCAGCTTTTATTCATGTGGATGTTTCTGTTAGTAAAATATCTCATGAATTACTGGATGTATTTTTATGGGACTGTTATTATTAGATGTATGTCAACAACTGATTAACTTGGGACTACAGACAAACTATAGCGCTCACCACCATCATCTACAAATTAAAATAAATTCAACTATTTTTAGACGTCAGCTCTACATAAGAGAATTTTCCTCCAATCTAAACTCTTAACTTCATCGTCTTGTAGAATGTAAAAATTCAGGCATGAACTGTTTATATTGCAATTTTTGATGCAACACATTTATGATCTCAGAGGGAATTAATCGATCAGTGTTGTTAAATCTTTAAAGGACTTTTTTAATCTTCAACAGCACGTCTTTTATTCCACTTGATGTAATAAAATTAAACAAAATGGTAAAAGAGGTTCTAATTGTTTTTGTCTTTATTATGAGTCTGAAATATTGATAAAAAAAAACAAATTACAGTAGTCCCTAGTTTATCGTGGGGGATCCATACCCTGAAGCCCCATGATAAGCGAAAAACCGCAAAGTAGGGATACAGTAGTCCAAGTTCAAGTAAACTTTACATTAAGGCTTTAGAAATCCTTCACACACTCGTCATGTTCTAAACTCTTAAACTTGCATCATTTTAACAACATACAAAATTTTACTTACTAGCTCTGTAGAACAGCAACAGATCTGGTTCCGGTCCCACTCTGTTCGTTTCTGCAGACCTATCCTGCAGCGATGAAGCCCACAATCAGTCCTCTAAACTCTTAAACCTAATTTTAACAACATACAGTACTTATATGTACAGGAGCTACAAAATGTTACTTACAAGGGCTCTACAGAACAGGAGGGGCTCGGTTCCGTCCGACCCGATAGATGGAAAAAAAGTCCCTGTGCTGCATGACTGAAGCCCACCGCTGCAGCTCCCAGGATCCGGATCATGTTGAGACCAGATCTACTGCAGCCCAGCTACTCAGCAGTGAAGATACAACTTGAAGGATGAGTTCATCTTCAGGATTAGTTGAGACTTTCCTGTCCGTCCTGTGAGTTTATCCTTACAGAACTTCTGACTTTGCTGCAAAACTTCCCCTCCATTTGCAGAAAGCAGCAGTTGGAAGCAGTGCTGACTTCTGGGAAGTCAACTGACAGCTTCTGGGTAATGCAGTTCTTTAGACTAGCCAAAACAGTAAAAACTTAATGAAAGAAAACTACAAAATGGCGGCACATTTTTTAATTCTTTATTTTTGGAAAATATGTACAGTACTGTACTTAAACTTAGAGAGGTCTCGACCTTGACCTCTCCAAGTGGCTTTAAGAATCTGTTGGACTCCTGGCAGGGACCAATGCAGACATGTTCCTGTTTTTAGTTTTATACATTTGTCTCGGAATCTAGCAGTTTTTTTGGTTTTGTTACCTTTTTCCTTTTAGCCATCCTATTTGTTTTAAAAAAAAAAAAAAATAAAAAAAATAAAAAAAAAAAAAAAACTGTAGTATGAGTTTTTATAACTGCTTATTGTTGTTGCTGTTGTCCATTGTTGTCATCTTTCTTTGTTGAAATCAGGTCTCTCTTGTAAATGAGTCCTCGAGGCTCAATGGGATTTACCTGTATAAATAAAGGTTGATTGATAAACAAACCGCGATAGAGCGAGTCCGCGAAAGTCGAACCGCGAAGTAGCGAGGGACTACCGTACTTAAAATTTTATCTTTATTTCAAACAGGTTTGCAGAAGTGCGTCACATTTAAACATCTCAAACCACGCATTAACTAAAAAAAACAATAGGCAACTAAAACAAGAAATAAAGGAGTGCAGAAACAGGCGGTTACGAAGTGGTTTTCTTCCTTCCTCTGGACGTCTTGGCGAGTCCAGGTGACATCTGGGTGGATTTGGGGTCCCCCCGTTTTCTAGCCACAGGGGCCTTTCGAGGTCTGGGAGCAGCTCTGGGACTTTTCTTGACGCCGTTAACTTCTGCAAGAGACAATCCGGCAGAGTTAAACCGCTCTGAACATTTTTTACACTGAATGAAGCCTTGCTGCAGTTTGAGTAGCTGGATAAATATTTTTGCTCTGAGCATTTACAGCAAAGTTTCTCGTTAGAGGAGAGGAGGCGCACCTTTTATCTTTGATGCTCGTTTTTGGACCGGACTTCCATCATCGTCTTTGTCCTCTACTTTCTCAGCTGCTTTCTTTCTCTTGATCGTCTTCTAGATAGAAAAACAACAAATCCTCCACGGTAAGAAACAGATCTTATGCAGCACTGTAAAAAAACAGTTTTAGGAGCAGATATTAGTGTGTCGACTGTCTCACTGAATCCTCTGTTAGCTTTACAGCAAGCCATCGGGCCGCATTTTGAAAGTCACAACATATTATTAGCCTGTGCACGACAAGCTAAACTGTATTCCAGGCTGTGCACATCATTTGCCTACTTTGCAGCTGCCCCACTTTTATCATTCAATCCACTGGAGAACACTTTTAATTGTAAATATTGTAAATAATTATTTATCATCAGTGCGGTTTTTAGACCTGGACATGCCTTGTCAAAGGAGAGGTCAAAGGTCAAGTACAGCTCTTGCTCTCTTGAGACGCCTGATTCACATGTTTTTTCTTGCAGAAACCTCTGGTTCAGTTTTTATTCTGTCCATCACACAGAGATCAGCGAGCGCGAGTGGTCTCGAACAGAAACCGACGACGTCCTCAGAGTCGAGGGTTTATCGAATGTCATCACCTCCTCCCAGTTTCCATTTCTGCCTCCATTTTGACAATTGCCGTCTCAGGATCGCCACGCGGCGCCTGCTGAGGGGAACAGATTGGTGGGATAATTACATAGAATAACCAGCGCCGGAGCCGGCTAACCTTTCTGTTGGAAACATCTCGTCCCCGGTGGCATTTTCAGTGCCATTCGCACGGAGAGCAAGTGTCACAGGGAGACAGAACCAGAGCCACCTCAGCAACACAAACGACTTAATCTCAACATGAATAATATTTATGTATATATATAAAAAAAGAAATCTGAAAGTAAAAAAAACAAAAAACTATGAAAATTAATGCCATGTAGTTTATGTCATTTAAATTATGAGGGAAATTTAATTTCCTGCAAAAATGCAATTTGAATGCTTAATGGTGAAGAACGTGCTGAAAAACAGCTGAAATTAGCTAAAAACATGCTGAAATGTAGCTGAAATGGAAGAACAAGCCTAAAGTAGCAGAAGAAAGCAGAAAGAAGACATATTTGTTGAATTAGGTTTAAATAAGCAGAAATTAGCACAAAAATAAGGAATTTTGTTTAAAAAGTTGAAATTAACAAAATTGCTGAAAAGTAGTTGAAAAGGCCAAAAGAGGCTTAACATATCAGAAGGAAGTGGAAGGAGCTGATATGAGCTGAAAAAGCTAAAATTAGCATGAAATGGCTAAAAAGTAGCTGAATGAGCAGAAAAAGCTGAAAGGAGTATGACAAGCTGAAAGTACCAGAAATACCACAAAAAACTTGAATTATCTGAAAACAGCTAAAAATAGCTAAAAAAAAAAAAAAAAGGGTAGCTGAAAAGGTAGAACAAGCTTAGATTAGCATAAGAAAGCAGAAAAAATGTGTTTGCTGAAAGAAGCAGAAATGAGCACAAAAGTGTAAATTATCTGAAAAAAGCTGAAATTAGCAAAAACAGCTGAAAAGTAGTTGAAAAACAGAAAGAAGATTAAATTACCAGAAGGAAGTGAAGAGAGCATATTTTTACTGAATTAGGTTGAACAATCTTGAAATGAGTGCAAAAAATGTGGAATTAGCTGAAAAATTATTAAATTAGCATAAACAGCTAAATGGTAAGTGAAATTGTAGAAAAAGCTTAAACTTGCTGAAATATGCTGGAAGGAGCATAACAAGCTGAACTTAGCAGAAAGAAGTTAGAAGAAGCACAAAAATGTAGTAGTTAGCGGGAAATAATCTGAAAGGATCACAAAACAGCTGAAAAAGCAGCTTAAATTAGCTGAAAATTTGTTTAAATTTACCCAAGGAAGCTGAAAGCTGAACCAGAAAGGAGCAGTAAAAGGTTGTAAACTGAGCTAAAGATTTGAAGGATGTAACTCAATTTTCCAGGAGAAAAAAAAAATGGCAGAAAAGGCTAAATATTTCAAAAAGCTAAAGTTGTACCAATACCAAAGGTCATAGCAGGATTGTCCTGAAAGAGCTGAACGATTTGATATTTGTTGAAACAGCTTGAAAACTGCGGGATGAGAATAACGCCAAAAAATATATGGAAGAAAAATGGATTGCAATAGAGCGAATGCTTCATAAACATTCACACTATTAACTAATTTCATAAACGTATTTTACTCATAACGCACCTTTTTTGTGGGAAAATTATGCATTTGTAATTTTATTGCTATGATGTATCTTAAAGGATTTGGGACTTTCCACAGTCACAGCTTCCGATCGTCTTGGTGAGGAGCTTCTCATCACTCCAGATATCAAGCTGATGTGTTTGCTGATGGACAGCTGAACCCCGAGCTGAACCCTGCCTGCCTCGGCGTGTCGGTGTCCTGACCTTGACTGGAGGTGCCAGAGCTTCACTGACAGGTGGAAACTCCAGCTGGCCGTCATCTTTCGCCTTGATGGCCTTCAGTCCGTTCAGCAGGATGGAGCGCAGCTTCTCGTACGGCGGTTTGTCTTTGTATCCCAGAGATTTCACCTCCTCCATGAACTTCTGGATCTCATCTGGAACAAGATGGTGCACCAGGTCACAATGAGCCGACAGCTACACGTCAGATAAACGCTCACAAAAGGTTTTTACACATCAGGACATGAAACAAGCTCTGAAAACCCAATTAGTATTTTCTTTAGTTGTTTCTAATGAGTCCTGTTTTATTTTGTATACATCAAATCAACAAGCTGCAGTCCAGCCTCGCATTCATCCTGGTTTGGCAGGAAATGCGTTGTTGTGTTTATGCAGATGAACTTGTACTCAGAAATAACCCCCGAGCGTCGCCGTGTTCCACGCCGCCCCTGTTGTCAGACTCGTGCTCGGCTCTGGTTTCAGTGTCGCGCTTCATTGTTTGGAGCGACTCTCCGCAGATGTGACACACGGTCACACACACACACTCACACACACAGACGGAGTTGTAAACAACAGTTTGTTTGTGCTCAGCCAAGCAGAAGGAAGGAGCTGCGACGTCTCTTCAGTCTGAAGCGACACTTTGCCTTCAGGTCAGAGAATCACCGCGAAGAGACGACAAACGTCACAACAGCCGTTTACAGCTGGAACGAAACGTTTCCTGTGTGCGTCTTAGTGGACGTCTGTCTAAAATCAGACCGTCGGTGTCTCCGGCTTCACTTTAAACGACCGTGAAAACGTTTAAAGTCAACCCAGCGTGTTTGTTGTGAATACCTGGCTTGTCCTGGGGGGAGAAACACTGAGACAGAAACTCTGTGATGTTTTCTTGGCTCCTGTGAAGAAAAACGTTCAGGTGAATTTTCCACCCGTGACAATCTGTAGCTTTGATTCTTCCTGCAGGTGTGTGCCCCACCTGATCTTGGAGTCTCTGACATACTGGGGGTCCTGCAGCTTGTCCTCCCATGGCAGCTGCCCACACAACCACTGAACCATGCAGTAACCCAGGATCTGCAGGTCGCCACGCCTACAAGGAGCTGCAGCCAAACAAGCACATCAGCCTGCAGACCTACACCGTGCACAACTAAAATATAACAGAATAAAAACAGTCTAATATCGTTATGAACCGTTTCATAACAACGTTCTGGAAAGAAAACATTTGCTTTGTTTCCCATTTTGAGATGAGATAAATTTTTATCTGATTCCCAGAAAACTTCTCCTTAAACAGAAACTTTGATCCATCCAGTGGTCATATACGTCGAAAAATACTTCATCAAATCTTCAAATTACCAAAAAAAAAATAAAAAATTGTATTGACTTAGCGGGGTATTGAGGTAACAGACTGCACAATACTGAAGTCAAGAGTCACTCAAGTTTTCAGATCGCAGGAAACTTTTTATAGTTCTTGTAACTACCGTATTTTTCAGACTATAAGACTATTTTCTGTCCGGGTTGAAACTGAAGCAGCCGCTTCAACCCGGAGAGAAAAAGAAATGCGTCAGTGAAACGCTGTAATCATATTGAAATATCGAAAATGTGCTTAAAACTCATATCACCGTTATAGAATAAAAGTATATCGTGATATATATCGATATTGAATTATTGTCCGGCCCTAAGTTTGACTCATTTGACTGTTTTGTTTCGCTTAATGCGCCTTATAATCCGGTGCACCTTATAGTCCGAAAACTACGGTAGTTGAAGGTAGACCTTTTTTGTTCACATCACATGAACTGCAGCAGACTGTAGCTCATACATGCTTGAGCTCTGTAACAATATGAATCACAAGAATTAAACTTTTCATCCTCCTCTGACAGGATGTTCTAGCTGTTGGGCCAAAAGAAACCAGAGAAGATGCTTAGAGCTCAAAGAGCTTGATGTTGGGTTCTCTTTGTGGAACAGTCCGGAGAACCTCACCTTCCTTTTTTGTATATAAATAAGACAAATCAATAGTTTTCATTTGTAACATGATGAAACTGATGTGCTGCTCAGCATCTACACCACAACACGATCTGTTCTAGCTGTAACCTTTTAGTAGTGCTCTGGCAACAGATGTTCCAGCTGATTATAAATGGCCCACTCTGACCTGCAGTGACTGATGATAAACTCCTCTGACATTCATTTGTCCTCTATGATTTTGTTAATAGTTGTGTATAAATGTGTGTAAAAAAAAAAAGGATGATTGAGCTGCAGGCTGTTTGGCAAGGACACTGTTTGAAAAATATATTTTTAAGAGTTTTATTTATGGTGACATGAATAAAATTTTTGAAAAATTGTAAAAATGCTACAGAACTGACTCATTATCCCAGAAACTAAATATTTTATTTTGGTAATTAAACGTGTCAGTTGTGCCCTCCAATTGTTTTATATTTGGGGGTACCTACATACTCCTTTGTGGGCGTCGATGCTTGTGAACTCGATGGTACCGTCGTGACATTTCTTTGGGTCTTCCTTGTACTCTTTGAGGTTGCCGTCGGGAGCGTACCTGTACACCAGCCCATAATCAACCAGGTAAACCTGCAACACAGCAGAGGACGCTTTCAGCTCTGAAGAAGAGAAAGAACGAGTAAGAGTTGTCAGGAAAACATATCAGGGGTCCCGCAGGGCAGTGGAGCACCATAAAGCCAAAACGCTTGGCATTGAACAGTATTATTGATATTGTTTATCTTATTTCTTCATATATTGTATTGTTTATTAACATTTAGGAACTTTTGTGTAAAATCTTTTTATCTGTTGCTGCTGTTACACTTGAATTTCCCATCTGTGGGACAATAAAGGCTGTTTCTATTCTATTCAAAACCATGAGTCTTTTTAAAACTTCTGCTGGACGGATACATTTAACGTTTGACTTTTGCAGTTTTCAAAGGTAAACAAACACGTGGTGGTTTGGTCACAAATGCTGCCAACAAATTTGAAATCTCACGACTATTCATAAGAGAAAAATATAGTGCAAAAATATAGTCTGGTCTTATAGCGTTGAAACCTTTAAATAAATACCATCTTCTACCTTAAAAAAAACTAACTTCCATTCAGCTACAGCACTGAGGGGTATTCAGAGAATAAAAATTAAATTAACAAACAGCCACCCTACCTAACGCTAAAATCCTGAGGGGCTGATTTCTAAATTGTCATTTATAATTAGCTCTTTAATAACAACACCACTGATACATTATTAATCCCCAAATTAAATATTTGTCCCTGCCCCCACCTTGTTTGGTGGAAAAAGCTCTTTGCTGTTGCTTTTTAATTTCCCAGTTTTTCAACACACACACACACACACACACACACACACACACACACAGCAGACTTTAATTGAATCTATTGAAGCGATACGAGTGTGTAACAAACATCACAAACATCTCTGCGGTCACAGAAGCACCTCCGATTCCTGAAAACAGAACTTCTGAAACATCATCTAATATTTTGCTCAAGCAGCAGCATGATGGTTCTACTGGTACTGACCTGGTTTGGATCGCTGTGGCTCAGCATCAGGTTTGACGCCTTGACATCAGCGTGCACGTACTCATTCTCGTGAATAAACTCCAGAATGTCCAGCTAAAACAGGACAGTTTGGATCTCTTGTTAGAACAAAGTAAATCCTGTCTAATGTGCTCTTTAAAAGAATGGCACCCTATTTCCCCTCCATCGAACATTAAATTTATTTAGAAATTTGACAAGAAAAACTAATCAGAAACAGAAAATGCATAATTTTTGACGACCAACCAGTCGAAGGCCGAGCTGCAGGACCAGTTTCCTGGGAAATCTCTTTCCACATTCCTCAAACTTCTTCTGCAGGTCCGTGCCAAGTCTGTCAATAACCATGAAGCGATACCTGCAGGAACAGAGGACGTCCTAAACGTTAAAAAACACAGCTAGAGGTCCTTTACACACAGTCTGTACAGCAGAATAACTGTCTGCGGTCCACATTCATCCACTCTGAGGCCTGGATTCAGAAACCTTTGGTTCTACTGAGAACATGGGCTGTTGTGTAAATAAACGGCTGAACCACAGCAGAAAAGCTGCGGTTTCACTCAAAAAATGTGTTGTTACATCGCCATTATTGCATCACTCAGCCCTCTGTGAATAGAAAGCAGCCATCAGGGTATTAACAACCAATTGTTAGGCTGATGGTCCTCCTTTTACATGTTCAGGCTGCTCTTTAATACACTGTATTTTACATTATTATTGATTAGCGTATATCTTAGATCCTTGTATGCACTTGCTTCTTTTAATACTTTATATTTTTGCTATTTTGGGGTGTAACTGGGACCTTAAGTACACGATTTCATTTTAACTCATGTGATGTGACCACATGTGATGCGAATGACAAGAACGAACCTTGAACAGCTAGTTCTAGATGTCTGCAGCAAACTGGTTGATCCACTACGAGAAGGTGCTATTTATAAGATTGAGTTTGTTGCAGCTCCTTAGACTGAAAAAGTATTTTGGATAAAAGACGAAATGCTTCAGCAAAGCGTGTCCAGAGCACCTGACTTAACCTTGTTAGATTTATCTACCTGGATTATTGTGCATGCACCAGGACATAAACTAAGCTTAATTTCAGAACCCTGGCTTTATAAACTATAAGTCCATACTTAGATCATCCACAGAGGTTCCAGATAAGGCTTGATATGTTTTGCAAGTCTGGAGTAACCGTCAGAATTATAAACGTCACATGCGCCGCAGAATGGAAGCAATGACAGGAGCTTCGCTTTGATTCTACCTTTTTTTATTGTGGTTCTTTTTATTTTAACTTTTGTTGCGTCTACAATGCACACCACGGTACGGGTATGACCGCGACACACTTGTAGAGTTTTGTGTGCCGCTGCCTTGCCATCATGGTTCTGTTCCTGGCCCCCCTCCAGCCTCAGGCTTAGGCTCTGGCCTGTCATGGCGGCTGTCTCCATGATCCTCCATCTGTCTGCACGGACTGAACTGTAAGGACCCGTTCGGTTCCGCGGGGAAACCTTGGATGTTCTCGATGTTCTCTGTCTGCCGGACCCAGTTCTGGACTGCGGTCTGTGAGGGCAGCTGCTGCAGTCGTTATTACCACCAAGCGGCGAACCGGACCTCATAACAAAACCTGCTACCAAGACCATGCCGCTAATAGTACAGAACCACGATGTTGAAAGAACCTTGCTGCCAACCAAATCACACTGTAGATTAATTTCTTTTTCAACTTTGGTGCCATGTTTTTTAGTAATTTAGTAGTATTTTTTAATGGTTGTTTTTTATGTTAATAGTATTTTTCAATATGTTTTTTAATATATTAGTAGTATTTTTAGTATGTTTTCAGTATTTTTGGTGCATGCTTTGATATCTCGTTTTCTTTTTGGCGAGTCGAGCCAGTTCTTCTCATCCTAACCATTTCATTGCATTGCTGACCTTGCGTTGATTTTGCATATGACAAATAAACCTAACCTAAGAATCACTCTGCATCAAACACTGTTATCTTCACACTAGGCCTGTCAGGATAACTAATTTTGCTGGGCGGTCTCAGAAATTATTTTGATAAATGATAATATTGTTTGAAATTTGACAATAATTAGTAATTACTGTCAAATTTAAGAAGAAATGTTGTTTAATTTGTTTTGCGTGTAGTACCTTTTTTGACCACCGGACGGCAACATAAGACTGTTTGAAGCGATGGACGGATAGTGAGGGAGCGAGCAGCGTGTCTCTTTAAGAACAATGGAAGGGAAGCCATTTCCTTCCTTTTTTGGGGGTTCTCAAAATGACAGACGCTCGGTGTGGTTTGAGCTCTTTAACATAGCATTTTTCACACAAAGCTTTTAACGAAAAAATATTTTTGCAGAGGAAAAACAAGTTTTTACACAAAGGCACGGGTTTCAACCGGGAATTTTAGAGCTTCGACAAGACGGAGGTTTTTTTAGGTAAAAAAAAAAATATTTACTAACATCCTAATTTAAATAGGACATACACAGGAAAGATGACTAGTCAACCAAAAAATAAACAAACAAGCAACAACAGCAGCAATCCAACCAGAGAAACCAAATATAGCTGATCCAAAAAAAGTTTAATCTGGTCCTCTGGACATTCAAAAAAACAAAAAGCAAAACAAAGCAAAAAAATGTAGATACGTTTCGTCTCATCCGAGAGACTTCCTCAGTCTGACGTGCTGTATTCAGCTCAGTCTCTTAAATAGCACCTTCTCAGAGTGGATCAACCAGTTTGCTGCTGACAGCTGATGGTTCTTCTTGACCATGTGATCAGCTGGTTTTGGTTGTCAGCAGCAAACTGGTTGATCCACTCTGAGAAGGTGCTATTTAAGAGACTGAGCTGAATACAGCACCTCAGACTGAGGAAGTCTCTCGGATGAGAGACGAAACGTTTCTACATTTTTTTGCTTTGTTTTGTTTTTTGAATGTCCAGAGGACCAGATTGAACTTTTTTGGATTTTTCTACCTGAGCATGCATCAGGACAAATATAGCAGAGCATTTTGCTAATAGCACTTGCGTCTTAAATATGTAGCACAAAGCTAGCAGCGTGCAATACAGATGAGCAAGCTAAGATGATACAGACGTAGCGCTCCGCTTCTCTAATGCATCCTAAACAAATTCAAGTTATTTATATAAACAAAGAATCTTCAAGTCGTCTGCTCACCCCTTTCCTTCCTTCTGATGCAGACCTGAGCCCCAGTACCTGGGAACCCCCAGATGCTTTAACTTGTGGGACTTCATCCAGTTCTGAACTGCAGCACAAGAGAAAACTGGTCAGAAACGGATATTTTCTGCTGAAATTCACCAACACAGAGACTTTAAAACCTAAACTTTGTAAATCAGAAAGACTAGCTGCTAAAGTTTGTTGTGAAGATATTTTTGCCTGTGTATGTGGGTGATGTTAAGCTGTGTGTGTGCGTTTGTGTTTGTGGGGGGGGGGGCGTCCAGCATGGCTGCAAGCTAACCTGCTGCTGTGACAAATATTTACCAACAATGTGACATTCCTGCATGAATAAAATATGAGTCTTTGGTTCCTTAGTAATATAACAGTTAATTGTCAGGGGAGACTGACATTTGGATTGTTATTATATAAAATGCAAAGCTGTGGCCTGGGGGCCAACGGAGCTCCACCCCCACTTCAGGGCCCTTCTGAGCCTCTGCTGCAACACGGTCGTTTTAATTAAGAAAGTTGGCTTTCTTTTATTTGTTTGTCCCGATGCAGACGCTCCGTTGTTATGATCACAAACTCTGATGGTGTGAATGTTAATGTGACTCACTGATGTCAGGCTTGGCAGCTTTCATGTAAAAATGCAGCTCAGAGAACAGTGGTCCGTTGTCCTTGGGCTCCTGCAGAACAACAACCATAGTCTGGATTAAACTGGCAAAATCAACAAATAAACAGGAAGCGAACTAAAGACATAAAGGGACAATCCAGATGTTTTAAAAGTAAGGTTGTGTGGAGTACATAACAGCAGTAAATGTCTTTACTGCAGTACATTTCCTGTGTGCAACACTTGTTGCCAATCAGGCCGTAAAGCACATGCAAAAGTGACGCCATGCAAAAAATGCACAATACACTGCTACTGAAACGGATATTATTCTTTAGAGGTATGAGTTGTTTTATACAATAGAGCTTTAGGGCCATGCTAAGAAAAAAATAATAATTACATTGCCACGCTAAGAAAAATAAACAAAAGCCATAAAATTACGAGAATAAAGTCATAGTATTATGAGAATAGTCAAATAGGCTTAATATTACAAGAATAAAGTTGTACGAGACTTATTTTAACAGCTCTCGTTTATTTTTTTCTTCTTCCACGAGTCGGATCCACGACGCGACCTGTCAATCAATCCAGTAGGCGTGTCAGCAAATGACCAATTCGAAGCTAAATGCTCCTTACCTGAAGAGCTGCGCTGCAGCCCATCAGAGCGGACCACCTTACTGTAATCAGGTTCAAAGTCCTGATACTGTTCAGTGCCCTGAGACGACTTCTGTTGTGACTTGGCGCTATATAAATAAACTGAACAGAATTGAAACTGATAATAATCTGATGCGCTAACAGATTAAGTACCTCCTTTTTGTAAAACACATTCCAATGTATAGCTTAAAAAGATGCTCAACATTCTTCATTGTACCACAGTTAAAATGCGGTAAACCCTGATTTATCCTGTCGGAGTTCGGATAATATTACAACTCATTTAGATTCGGATTGGTCATTTGCTGACACGCCTACTGGAATGATTGACAGGACGCTTTGTGGATCCGACTCGTGGAGAAAAAAATAAATGAAAGCTGTAAAACAAAAATATATATGGCTTTTAATATTTTTTTTCTTAGCATGGCTATTTAATTTTTTTTTGCGTGGCCCTAAAGCGCCGTCATAGTTTTAAATATTAAATTATGACTTTAATATTTCCAGATAACTCAGATCACCCATGAGAATTTCTTCCCATCTCTCCAAACTGAGCGCCTTTGGTCTTGAAGATTTGTATTTAATTACAGAGTTGACCAGAACGTTATGGTTTTATTTTTTACCTCAGCCTATTGTTTGTAAAATTGGTTTGTTTTGACTGCAGATGAGATTTTGCAGCGATGACGTTTCATAAGTCAACAATAAAAGCCTCAAAGTCCATTTTACCTTTCATTTTCCCCACTTTTTGAATGACCGTGAAAATGTCTTAAGAACCAAAGAAGAAGTCCAGCTGACGTCTGTTTAAGCACTAGGAATTACCACTATGTGCATGATTGACAATCAACACCAATTAAAATCAAGAAAGAACCATCTTTGTTTGTATGCCTGCCTTTCTGTCACTTATAAGGTTGTGTATTTGTGAATTTGATTTACAACCTCACTGGCTGCAGATTTCACTCAGATCTTAAAGTGAATTACGTTCACAGGCTAGTTTTACTTTATTCACTTCTGAAGCAGCTCTGATTTTTCTGGACCTTCTTTAAATGACCAACCTAACCATGGCACAGTACAAAACGAAGACTTTGAAGCAGAAATATATGCAGTTTCACCACTTGAAAACTGATTCAAAGCAGAAAGCAATAAAAAATTTAAAAAAAGTGAATAACATCCCAGTTGTCTGCTTGTTAAGATAAACTTCACCGGAAGATACAAAACTGTTAATAACATCTCAGTCTTACCACTTTAATGACGTAGCGAGCATCAGCACCAACCGGTTTTTCAGTGTTTTGTTCAGCTGGTGAGAAAAGAAAGAATTTCAGAACTGCACATTAGACAACTGCACTAAAAAGATTTGAAAAAACTATTAGAAATGCTGCAGCGTTTAGGTTTCATTTAAAAACATCTGATGAATAACAAAGAAATGCAATGCCTATATTAACAGTGCGCTACTCATACCCAGATATATGAGCCCAAAACCCCCCTTGCCGACTGGAGCACCCAGCTTCCAGGATTTCTTTCCCATGTCTGTCAGAACCTCTCCTGGAGGAAACTCCTCAGCCAGCTTCCGCTTTGCAGGTGCTTTGCCTTTCCCCGCCGCCTTAGTTTTAGGAGGCATCTGAAAGGCACAGCTAGAGCTGTTAAAGACAGTTCATACTTTACAAAGAAAAGTTCCCAAGGCATAATTCATGAACAGCTGTTTGCTTATGAATAATTTGAATGAAAAGCCGATTGGTGTGATTGGTCAGCTGCTTCCTACTGCTTAACCTCCCAACACTTACCTTCAGCTCTAGCAAAATCTGAGTGCACTGTATTGGAGGAAAGGTTGGTGCATCCTCAAAAAGTGGATTAAGCTGTTAGCTATAATTCAAACCTTAGAAATACAAGCATGCAACAATTATGCAGTTACTAACTTAAAAACTGGTAAAACAATTCATTGTAAAATACATTACATAATAAAATTGTGTGATATATAATGATGTACTGATTTTGAACTGATGAATTCAGAGACGTCAGTAAATTGGTGACACAATAATTCCCCATGTGACAGGTAAGAAGATAAGAGACCAGATGAAAACTTCCCAACTAACATCCTACTTGAATTTCCCATCCGTGGGACAATAAAGGCTGTTTCTATTCTATTCTATTCTAATAATCCAGGTAGAAATATCCAACAAAGTTAAGTCAGCTTCTCTGGACATTTTTTTTGTTGTTGAAACGTTTCATCTTTCATTCAAAAGACTTCATTGGTCCAAGGAGCCACAACAAACGCAGTCTTATAAATAGCACCTTCTCATAGTGGGTTAACCAGTTTGATGGTGCTCAGATGGGGTTTCCCAACTAAGTTAAACCTTAGAGTATCTTAGTGGAACCATGATTTAAAAAAAAAAAAAAAAAAGTGTTGTTACAATAAATATAGAAGCTTCAGCATTTCTTTTGAGTGGAAACAGCAAATCAGCAGCCAATGAATGTTGAGGTTTTGGGACTTCTTTACCTATTTAAACAAATTATTACTTATTTTAAACGTTTCAGTGTAATGATCACGACTTTGGTTTTACCACAGAAGCAAGCACAAATCAGAAAAAATGAACTTTATGCAACAAAATCTGAAAAAAACCAAAATCATATGACTTTACTGTCACGCAACTGAAACAGAAACAAGTTTTTATCCTTCTTTCGTATGAATGATGACTTATTTAAACGGCTTTTTTAACTGTACATCAGAAATAAGACAAAACAGAAACAAGGCTGACGTCGATTGAGTCAACTTAACAGCCTTAGTTACAAGTACGTCCTGAGAAAAATACAGCAGCCTCTTGTAAATAGAAGACAACTATTCATAAACAGGAAATATCTGGGGGAATTCAAAACTGTCATGGCATGATTTAGCGCTAGTTAGCTTTTATGCTAACTGCGTAGCCTCAATTCAGTTACTTCGCCCGGCTTTTTATCAACAAACAGTTTTGGATATATATTTCCCACGAAAATAAAACACATTTCTGTTAGGTAAAAGTAGAATACACACCGTCAGTTTGTTGTTTATGGTTGATTATTGACTAAAAATCTCAGAGGACCGAACTTTCACCAAAAACTACCGCGCAGGAAATGACGTCACGACGCGTTGTCGCTCTATTGGTCATTACGCTGCGTAACTTCCCGAACGTAAAGCTGCATTCACTGTCCACTACAAAACTCTGAAATTGTTTCTTAACTCGGAAAGATCAGACATTTTTACACAAAAATTTGGCCACTCTGTTTGTTTTAACAGCGATTTTTGTTTCATCTGATGTCAATCTTTATAAAGCAAACTATGAAGTAAACACAGTAGTTCTGGACGTTTTTATACCGACAAAACAGCAGATAAGTACGCTTTTTGTGGTTTACTTATATACGGTTTCTTTAGGTTCACGGAACATCATGCTCATGGGGAATATAGTGTCAAAACTATGATGCCGATTTTTTTTAAAAGTCGTGTCTTTTTCAAAATTTGTTTTAATGTTATTATTATAGATTTAAATTAATGAATGTGTCTAATTACTGACACCTACAACGTTCATGATGGTAGTTAATGTTGGCAGAAGGGCAGTGTTCCCAAACCTGGTCCCTGAGGAACACCCTCCTGCATCTAAAAAAACATTAAGTCTGGTCCTTTGGTCATTCAAAAAACAAAACAAAGCAAAGCAAAACAAAAAAAAATGTAGAAACGTTTTGTCTTTCATCCGAAAGACTTCTTCAGTCAGGTGCTGTATTCAGCTCAGTCTTAATAATCCTGCATCCTGCATGTTTCAGTTGTTTCCTGCTCCAACCTGCCTGATTCAGTGAATTAATTACTTCCTCAAGTTCTGCAGAAGCCTATTAATCACCCATTCATTCAAATCAGGTGTGTCAAAGCAGGGAAACAAGTAAAACATGCAGGATGGTGTTCCTCAAGGACCAGAGTTGGGAACCACCGACTTAGGAAAGTATTGAAGAAGATATCTACAGATACTAGCTTTCGAGTAGAAATCAAATGTAGGCCCAAATATCCTCATCAAATTCTCAACATTTCTGTGCAATGTGTTCAAATGTAGTTTTTTTTTATATGAAATACAAAATATGAGGAAAATAATAAAACCCTAATATCTATTGCTTGATGGCAACAGCAACCTTTATAGCATGTTTCTGAGATTATGTTGGATTGTTGCAAACAGAAGCTGCTGTTTTCTCTATATAAATAAATCAAAATACATCAATATTTGTGATGCATTTAATGAAGCAGTAAAAAAAAATCTTCACACCTGCCGAGCTCATCATCTGTGCACTCCAGACTGCAGTTGCAAAGGCTGAATTTGAATAGGTATGTAAATGTTCAAAGCCTTATATGTTTTGAATGTGTCATTAGATACCAACATATTGGGTATCACCCGCAACCAGTTGCACAACTCATGAATAAGATATTGGTTCTTTAGTGTCTTGTCTTTCCAGGTGCCACAGAGTGGAGAGCGGAGCTGAAAGAGGGCTGTTGTTTCTCCAGTTTGTACAAAAACTGCTTTGATTCAGGAGAACTTCAGCATCTGTGGCCATATTTTAAAACTAGAAGCCTCTCTTGCTTGAGCTGAACTCACTGTTAGACTTTTACGTTGGAACCAAAGAGAGATGACACGCTTTAGCGACAGTGGCGAGCAAAGTGAGGACAGTGCTGAGTTTCCCTCCAAAAAACAGAAGAAAAGAGGAAAACATGTGTCATTCCCTCCTGATGAGCAGATAGTTTCAGGCTTTGCGGAGCACAGGAACTCTGACAGAACAGGTGAGCTGCTGTTTATTTACACATGAAAGCATTATGGATGTGACGAAAAAGGGGAAAACACAGAATGCATGAACTCACTTATCTTTGTCACTGTTTAAACTTAATATTTTATTCAGAAAAAGACCAATTTATGATTAAGCATCTGCTGCTGATCTAAATATCTCACTGTAGGCAGCTTTAAAACTTTAGAAGGATGTTTGATGTTGACTTTATTTTCAGTTGCCTTAAAATACTTATGTAAAAGCAGTTTTTATAAGTTTATTTAGTTATCTTTATTATTATTATTTAACCATGCTATAGAGGTTTTCCTTTTGGACACTCCCTTCTTCAGGGGTCACCACTGTGGGCGAACCTCACTCATAAAATCTGGCAATTGCTTTTGTGCTAGATGTCCTTGGTGACACAGTCTGAGCTACACTTGCATGTTTTATTAATCCCTGTAGTCCAGGGTTAGATAGGGATTTTCACTTGGTTTCAACTTTTATTTTGAACAAACCATTGGAGTTTTATTTGAAATTAACAGAGTCAGTTGGGTCCATGACTGTTCATCCAGTGTTTTATTGACCTTCACAGGACTATTTAAGGGGTTTTTTTTTAACCCCAAAGGGAATTCATGTATCTGGATTTAAATATAACAAATTATTCAGAACCTTAGGCTCTAACAAAAAAAGTTTCTGCAAGCCTACTTTTGAGATTCCAACAGAACGTTGGCTTGAAAAACAGCAATGAATGAAGGCTACCTATGAGACAGATCTGGTTGGCAGTCCTCAGACTGAGAAAGTCCTCCGGATGGGGGGGGGCAAACGTTTCTCACTTAAATAAACTGGTCCAAATGACCGTCATCTATTTGGATGATTGAGCTTACAAACCTTTTTCTGAACCACTTTGGCCTTGGTTGTCCTCAGGCTGTTTCTGTAAATAGCAAGTTGGCCACCTGGCCTAAGACATTTGATTGTGGTACAGTAGTCCCTCGTTACTTTGTGGCTCAACTTTTGCAGACTCAATCTTTCACAGTTTTTCAAAGTAAGATTGGACATGACACACAACTGGCTGATTGATGGATTAGCCACACGATTGGCATGGATTTTTAAAATTTAAAATAAATTATTTTAACTTATTTAGCACCTGCTGCACCTGTGTGTAGCCCACAGATACAGGGAGAAGCTTCCTCCTGCAGCATGTCGATCTCTGCTCTGCAGCAGAGAAGTGGGCATGGCCGAGAGCGCTGGCAAGTGGCAAGAGAGCATAGCGAGAGAAGACATCATGACATGCTGTGCTCTTTTAGAGCATTTATAGAGTTTAGAAACATTGTTTAGAATATTGCAAAGAGTGTGGGAAGAGTTTAAAACCCTTTATTTATACAGTATATATACTACTTGTACTACTATCCCTACTTGGTGGTTTTTCACTTAGCGCTAAACGACGGACTACTGCATTTATTGATTGATTTGGATGGGTTTGTTTTGAAAGTGTTAAAAGACTACTTCGGAGATTCCAACAGGAGGTTGGCTTGAAACATAGCAGTGAAGGCTACCTATGTGGATCTGGTTGGCAGGCCTCAGACTGAGGAAGTCCTCTGGATGAGGGATGAAACGTATTTCAAGAAACTGGTCCAGACGACATGATTTAACCTTTTTTGTTTTTAGTCTCTAACCAAACTAGCAGTATTTAAACACCGCTGCAGTTAGATTTTGGGCACATGGGCAGTTTCTTAGAAGCATTTTATAACTTTTCATTTTAACCAGTAAAAAAAAAAATAAATAAATAAATAAACCTTTTTGTTTTTCAGTATTTTCATGTTCATATTGAATTTGACCGTTTGATGGAAGGAGCTCCTTTAATCTTTCACTCTGGTTTACCTCATTTTAATGGTTTTTGATGGATGACTCTAGTCTAGAACATTCAAGCATTGAATAAATGTATTTTTTCTTGTTTTAGCCGAACGCTGCGTCACCCTGACAGACATAATTGCTGCATACGAGCAGAGCTGCAGTAAACATCAGCTCCAACCCAAAGACAGCGTCCTGCAGCAGCTCCAGGTACGTCGTCAATGTGAGTCCAACAGAACCTCGCTCTGAGAAGATTTCATTTTTGTTTAACTCAATCTTCTAACATCAAGACATCTCAAGTGACATGTCTGTAAAAAGGTCCAATTAACCAATATGAGACAGAGTGAGAGCAAACTGCTTCAATTTTATTTATGTTTCATATTTTCTCCTGACTTGAACAGTCAATTTTATTCAGCAGCTGAAAGTTGACTTTAGAGCTTTTGACTTTTTAAAATGATCTTCATGATTAAAAACACAAGTCCATTTTGATTTTTACAATAACTTTCAGTTGAAATTCTGTTTTTTCTTGCTCTCTGGCCTTCTAGCTTTGGTTTGAAATGCTCAGATGTTCAAACTGAGCACCACAGACAGAGGCAGAGATAAGGATTTATTTATAAAAGATGCATAAACAAACTGTTTTAGGCATGTAAATAAAGCTAATTGTTGAATTTTAAAACCTTTAAAAAATCCTACTTTCTCAGATGGTTCCAAACTGTGCCGTCCTGTGCCAAAGGGCAGAAACTGAGCTAATTCTTTACTAACGCCTCTGTAACTTGCTCTATAGTTCACTTCAGCACATGAATCTTTGCACAAGTAATGCCCACATGTTGTTTCAAAGTTTCCAAGACATTTTAGCCTTCATCATAGTTTTAAAAGAGTTATATACTATAATGCAAGAAAAACAATTTCAGGCAAGAGGAAAAAAATATTTATTTCTGGATTCCATCCTCATTTTCTACGAAACAATAGCAGCTGATGTGATGCTTATATTTCTAATGAAATCTCCTGAGTGCTAGCTTTATTTTGATACCAGTGTAGTTTAAACAGAGTTTGTAATTGCTGGGAAACACTCAATTTTATTTGGGCATGTGATGGAGTTCAAGGGAACTCCTTGGGGTTTACCAGGTTTTCATTGGTGGATGTATAGAAGCTCCAAAAGCTCATAAATGTTCCACAGTTTGATTTTATTTACATTTGTTGACATGACATTTGCCATAAACCAGATTTTATTCTTTTTTAACCACATATTGACTTCGGATGTACAATGTCAGGGACCAAAGCTGCAGAGTGAAATATTGCTTTAACAGAAATGTGCAAAACCCTGTTTTTCTAAGCAACATCAGCAACTGTGCTCATAAAAAAGTGCATGGTGGAACAACATTACAGCTCTCCAGAAAGGATCAATATCAGCTCCATAAACTGGCACAAGTCAAGGCTGTCAGAGCTGATTGCAGCTTTTATTAAAACTAAAGCTGTTTTATGAATCAGATCCAGAGACAAACTGACTGAGACGAACAGCTCACAGGCTTTGAATCAGGATTTTAAAAATAAGCGAATGGCTGATTCAGAAGACTTGGATTATTTCATTTTTAACAAACATGTTTACGTATTTATGATGTGTTGCTTCACGGTAATCGAGCTGACTAATTCTAAGCCAGTTGGAGTGTTCTGTTCGGGTCTAAAATGGAGTTATTTGGTGTTTATGTAAGGAAAACATTTAATATATTTGGGGTTTACAAGTTGGAATAATAAAAGGCCTGAAATTTCACACAAATTTAACAATAGTTCCTCTTATTTCTGTTTTCACAAATAATCTCTGTCTTTTCGCCTTCTTAGAGGTAAAACAGTATTTAAGTTCTACAGTACTATTTTTACTTATTTCATCTTCAATTAAGTGAAAAATAAAATATTAAACCACACTACGAATTATAATGATTGCTGGCAAAAATCATCTCCAGATGTGTAGATTTCTAATAAAATATATTCAGGATTGTTTGTTTTTATAAAATAGGTCTCAACAGCTCAATTAAAAATGTCTTGCCACCCAGCACATAGTAACACAAATATTCAGAAATAAATCCCACATACTGCATGGAGACATGCTTCAGTTTATTTGTGAAAATGCAACAATTAATTTGTAAGAATAATTAACTTTTTAGCTGTGATTTGTAAGGCTCGGTGGGGGAAGTGTACTTGTTTGGGATTAAGCTGCTCCATCAGGGACTGACCCTTCTAAAGGAAGAAGAAATCATGAGACCATCTGCCTGTTAGCACTTACAAATCCACCAAAACATGAATAACAACAAAAAATGGCCAATTAGACAGAAATTTAGATCAGATTCTATGAAATAGGGTGGCACGGTGGCTCAGGTGGTAGAGCTGTTGGTAGTTTGGTGCCTCTCAGCTAGAAGATCACTGGATTGAATCCCAGCTGGGGGCCTTTCTGGGTGGAGTTTGCATGTTCTCCCCGTGCATGCATAGGTTCTCTCCGGGTACTCTGGTTTCCTCCCACTGACCAAAAGCATACGTTAGACTAATTGGTAACTAAATTGTCCCTAGGTGTGAGTGATATAATGAATGGTTGTTTGTTTCATTTTGTCCCTATAATGGACTGGAGAACTGTCCAGGGTGTCCCCCACCCCTCCCATAGTGATGGCTGGACATGGGCACCAGTGACCCCCCATATAACAGACAACCTCCATGTGCTCTTCTACACAGTGTAACTCCTACCCAATTGATTATTTTGCACAAACAACATTCACTTGCATTCCCTGTTCATTTGTAGTCCAGAACAACATTCATCTGGAAAACTACAAACATTCCCTCTTCAAAATCTCTCAGTGACAGAGGACACTGGAGTACTGTTTGTTTCTTTGAAATGGGATGGGGGGGTGGGGGATAATTATTAGATATAACTTTAGTTCTGTGAATGTGTTGTAGCCCTCAAAGGTCTGAGAGGAAAAATTAAACAGGAAATAATTAATCTTATTTCAAAACTTCAACAAAATTTTTAGTCAAAAATTAAAAAAATACTGGAACTTTTCTGAAAAGTGGTTTGAAAAAGACCCAAGAGACTAGTGGATATTATTTATTGAAAAGTGGGGCATTTCTTGTTACATCTATTGATGCTTTTGTTGAAGAAAAAGGGACTTTTGGCTCATATTTGCAGCTTTTTTGAACACATTCTTGCAACATTTTTTTTTTTGGTCAAAGAAAGAAAATGTGCTTAACTTTTCCCCACAGTGGTCTATCCAATGTTTTTTTTTAATCAGGTAACATCATATATATCTGTATTTTCTGATACATTACCCTCAGCAATGGCATCTTTCGCTTCATAGTGCCATTCAGTTCTTGCACTCATATAAACTTTCACACAGCTTTTCCTAATATTCTCTTCTTTAGTGAGACACACACTCCCTCTCTCCCTCTGGTAACTTGAAACACACAGTTTTCCATTTATAATTCATTTTATGTATACTTACTTTACTTGGACAAGCCACGATAAAGCACTGCTCTCTGCATAAATTTAACTCGAGATCAAGGGGAATTATTTGTGTTAAATTAGAAACTTAGCTGTGCTCACATTAAGCATACAGCTGCTGTATTATCACCGAGGTGCTAATGAACGGAGCTGCAGTGGAAACTAATGTAGGTGGTCCTCCTGAAAGAGGAATACATGTCTGCTTAAACATTAGCTAAGAGGGGTAATATTTAGACCCCAAAAAAAGAGCTGCGTGTGAATGAATCAGTAATAAGAGGATGCAAATCGAAAAGATGAACGCCTAAAGAGCAAATTTATTAAATTAGGTCTTTTAAGGCGTGAGGCGATTCCCTGAGGATCAGCGCTGAAGACTATTTAAAGCTGGTTTTAAGCACCCACGGGGCCCTTTGCACTCCTTTGAAATGTTGTAAGTGGATAAAACAGCGTTGCTGTTGGTGACATCTTCATAGGAGTGGTAAACAATATTAAGTTGGAGCCAGCAGGGGTGCAGGCTGCCATGCTTTGACTCTGATTTCACTGTGTGAACTCAAGTGCTGCTTGTTGAATAAAAAGGTAATTAAGATGATCAAACCGGGTCCGAGTGGCGGCTTCTGCATGGAGAACAAGCTCAAGAACAGTAACAGAGAAACTCTTCTGGAGCAGGAAACACTAAGGATGTGGACTTCTAGTTATTTCTGAACAGCTCTCTTAAATAGATGCACACAAGCATTAAAATGTTTATCTCCAGAATACAGAGATATATTTATCTCAGGAGAAAATACAAGTGTTTGGGGAGTTTGGTTGAATATGCACATGAACAGATCCATAATAATGTAAAAGTTTAGTAAACATTCTCTGAGCTGTTCTAAACCGGTCGGACACACACACAAAAAAAACCTCCATGAAAATCAGAGCGGTAATAAAACAAACAAGCACATAAATCATTAAAACAAAAAGCATTTTAGTTTCCAATATTACTTTTTGTTGATGTTGAGTCTGTGTTAAAAAGAAGAAACAAGGAAGGACTCAGAGCAGGAGCAGGAAACAAGGAGTTAAAGATCTGCAGAGCTGGGCGATCCAAAGAAAGCAAATGTTAACTGAACATGATGGAAACAAAACAAAATAAGTGATGAACACTGTGATTTGATGGGCTCAGGAATAAAATATCATAAACAGCTGCTCATAAATAAAGTAGCAGAAAGCAACTCCATTTAACCCATCAGTCCTGCACAAAAACTACATTTACAAAAGTATATTTTGCTTAGTCTAAATAATGCTCATTTATACAGTTCTACACAGTCTAACTCCTTGGATTGCTTTAGTAAGGGTTAAAAATGCTGAGACGTGGACAAAAGTAAGATGCTGCCTCCAGGTTGAGCATGATATTTGCTTCAAGTGGAGGTGTTCAACTAACTGAGTAGACTGATGCATCGTGGCTGCGTTAGCAGTAATGACACTGTTGCTTTGGTTCATTGTGGTGATGTAAGAGCTAAGCTGCAAGGCAAAGCTCTTAATTTAATGGTTTGTCCATGTTGCAAAACTCACCAGTGGCCATAACATGTGGATCTTGACGAAAAGATCAGCACCCTGGATAAAAGCAGATGAAATGAGCTCTGAGCTCTGTCATTCTGGAGGAGCTCAGATGAGAGCTTTTGCTGCTCCACATCCAAAGGAGTCATGAGGTTGTTCAAGTATCTGGTAAAGATGCCTCCTGGGTGCCTCTCTCTGG